TCCAAGGCTGCTGGGAGGGAATTCTGGGAAGTGAGGAGGAAGCTGAGCAGAGTGCACGATGGGATGTGCGGTGTAGAACGCTCTGGGGGCGCTGGAAGGAGGGGGCCGGGGCTCTGCCGACTCCAGGAGGGAAGTCTGCACCCCAGGCCTGCAGGACCCTCCCCCAGGTGGCCGTCTAGGCCATTTGTTGGGCCCACAACCCGGTCCTCTGAGCAACACGTGGGGGTGTCTTTAATGTCCCCAACTAGACTGTCAGGTCTGCCAGGATAGGGACCCCGTGTATTAGACCTCCTGAACTGAATTCCTTTCTTTTCTTTTATCCATCATTTATCTTTTTTTGTTCTTTTTTTTTCCTCCTCATATGAGGGGGGAGGGGGTGTTGACCCCAGTGCTCCCCACATATTCTCTACCACTGAGCTACATCCCCAGCCCTTTTATATTTTTTTGAGTCAGGGTCTCACTAAGTTGCCCAACTTGCAATCCTCCTTCAATTTGTAATTCTCCTTCAATTTGTAATCCTCCTGCGTTGGCCTCCCAAGGAGCTGGGAATACAGGTGAGGTGTGTACCACCACGCCCAATCTTTGTTTTACTTTCTATATTTCCTTAGTCTTGTCTTTCATACTGTCTACTATAATTTTAATATCTAAGGCAATTTAACTGTAAGGAAAACAAAGGATTTTACAGCTTTAATACCCCAGGCAGTTTAACTTCAAGGAAATCAAAGGGCTTTTTTGGTTTTTTTTTTACAGGAAGGGAAATGTACTTAGAAGTACATTATATGCTTCAGCTGTGAACTGTTTTTTGTGTTTTTTGTTTTGTGAACTGTTTTATACAATCATAAACTATAAATTTTGAATATCAATTTAACCAAAAATTTATATTAGGATTCTGAAAGAAAAGTACGTCTATACCTCTCTTTTTGTGTGGATAAAATGTATTTTATCTTTTTTTATCAATTTAAAAAATTTTATTAGTACATTGTGCAATACATAATGATTACATTCACTGTAAGGAATTGGTATATATATGTGAAACATATTTCAATTTTTTTTCCCTTCCCTCCACTCACCCAACAAAAACAAATTTTAAAAAGACTTTATAACCTAAAGAAATTTCAGCAACTTGAGAAAGACCATTCTGTAGGGGGCTCTTGAGTAGCAGGACAGGCAAGGGAACTTTCCTGTCTTCTCTTTTTTTTTTAAAAAACAGACTCTGGCTTTGTAGTTTAGGTTGGCCTCAAATTCTCAGGCTGGCCTCAAATTCTCAGCAATCCTTCTGTCTGCCTCAAGCTCCCAAGTGCTGGGATTCCAGGTGTCCAGCACCAGCAGCAGGAAGGGGGACTTTTTTTTTTTTTGGTACCGGGAATTGAACTCGGGACCTTGCGCTTTCGAGGCAGGCGCTGGAACCACTGAGCTAAATCCCCGGCCCAAGGAAGGGGAACATTTTATTCCTTCTGTGTTCCCTCATACTTCACTCCCATCTTGCTCCCCTAAATGCATGATCGTTTTCATCATCGTCATCATCATCATCATGAGACCTGGTGGGCGGTGGAAGCACAGCTCCTCTGGCGAGGACAGAGAGGATAGGAAACGTCACTTCCTTCTGCCTGTTTGGCCCTTCCACCCAGTGGGGAGCTGTGCCTGTTCTCTTCTATAATCTTCAGGAACGTGAACCTAAAATCTCTCATCTATCTGTAGAATTTTGTGCCCTCGCTATGAACTACCTTTTCCAAAATTTAAATATGTAATGCAGATACATCCACAAAAATAAAGCCAGGCGTGGTGGTGCACACTTGTAATCCCAGCACTTGGGAGGCTGGAGCAGGAGGACTGCCACAAGGTCGAGGCCAGTCTGGGCCACATAATGAGTTCAAAGCCAGTCTGAGCTACCTAGTGAGACCCTGTCTCTCTCTCTCTCTCTCTCTCTCTCTCTCTCTCTCTCTCACACACACACACACACACACACACACACACACACACACACACACACAAATTAACAGAGGAAAGAATTTACAGGGGATTTCACCCTAGAAAGGCTTAGGAGTGGGGCCAACCCCAAAGCTGACGCTGGAAATCTGGCTCTTGGTTTTGATCATTTGTTTTGCAGAACTGGGGGCTCATCAAACTCAGGGCCTCACACATACTACGCAAGTGCCCGACCTTTGAGCGACATCCCCAGCCTGGGCCCTTCTAGTATTTTAAACTCCAAACTGGCCCTTGCTGCCTGGGTATTCCTGCCTCTGAGCTCCTCTACTTCAAGGGAAACAGACAATAAACTTCCTGGGGTCAGGAAGATAAAGTCAACCAGAAAGATAGAAGTTACTACCAAAATGGCCCCGACTGGTTTTCCTAGCTTTGAACCCTTGGGCAGTCGGCCTGCAGGCAGAAGGAAAGGTTCCTTCTTGGAAATCTCCCAGTGAGGATGTGGGCTTCTTAGACAGCCTGTGTGGCACATGATGTTCAGTCTCCTTCCTAGTCCTTGAGTTTCAGGAATAGGATCAGGTAGCAGTGCAGGAGCTACTTAAGACCTCTGCTTTCCCAGAACACAGGTAGGAAACACTCTCCAAGCCTTGAGGTCTTCAACTCAGATACGGAGATCACAGCAGTCTTAGGAACTGCTGAGTTGGATCACAGAGTTGACATTAAATCATGAAGCACCCGGTGGCAACTGAGTCACCCTCTTTCCTGAGGCTCCCAGCCACTTCTCTGATGCCACGGACAGGGCAATAGGTTGGGAGGGAAGCAAATGCTACAAAAGCAAGGAAGAAATGTCCAGGCCCCTCCCTTCTGAAGTCACCCAGCCTAGAGACAAGTGCAAGAGCGACAGGTGTGTGGAGGAGGAAAATCCAGGACTTTCCATCTGTGGGGTAAGTGTGACTGGGTGGCTAGGGGTGGCTTGGCAGAGACCTCCATGAGGAGGACCTTCCTCCCCTTCAGACAAGTCAACAGCTGGAGACAAGACCAGTAATAGAAGCATGAGCGATACAAGACACTTTACCAAGCCCTCTCCTCGCCAGGGTTGGCAGCAGCATCCTTCACAAAACCCCACGAGCTGAAATGCTGCCATCCTTGCTTTACAGAGGAACAAACTGACAGCGCAGGCCTGAAATCCCCACACTCAGAGGCTGAGGCAGGAGTACTGCCATGAGTTCAAAGCCACCCTTGGCTGCGTGTACCAAAACCTTGTCTCCAAAACAAAACAAAAAACAAGCCTTGGAGAAGTCAAGCCCACATCTCAGTGCTCCTAAGTAACAGCACAAAGTCAGCCCTTCTCCTCAGACCTTCAGGACAGCCGGGCAGTTCACACCCATCCAGAAACGCCCAGCTCAGCAGGCCTGGGTGATGTAGCTCCATTCCCAGCCTGGGGAGCTCTCTGTGCATGGCCCCCTCCCCCTCAGGGCTCTGGCCCAACCCGAATCTGGCTTGCTCAGGCCCAGGAAGCGCAGGCATGTCTCATGCCCTTGTGATCAGCAGGGGCAGCCCTGGCAGCAGCCTGGATGGTACCGCGTGCCCTCAGCAGGGAAGGGGAGAAGCCCAGGGGGAGCTCTGCTCTGCTTCCCCCTAACTGGTTGCTCCTGGACACCCATCTGGAGCCCAGGCTGCCTTCAGCACTTCACTCCCTACCGGTGATGGCAACTGTTGGTGGTCTCCGTTTCATTTATTTTTACTTTTCTCCCTAGTGCTGGAAGTTGAACCTAGGGCCTCTACCTACTGAGCCGCATTCTCTACCCTTTGTTTATTTTTAATTACAAAAGTGTACCTGCCTGTAGCTGAGCAGGTAGCACACACCTGTAATACCAGTAACTCGGGAGGCTGAAGCAGGAGGACTGCCAGCCTGAACTACATAGTGAGACCCTGTCTCGAAAAAGTGTACCTGCTTAATAAAAACCATACAGGGTCGGGGATTTAGCTCAGTGGTTTTGCCTCCTGCTACGCAAGCGCAAAGACCCGAGTTCGATCCCCAGTACCAAAAAAATAAAAATTAAATAAAAATTAAAAAAATAAAAACCATACATCAGCGCCAGGGATTTAGCTCAGTTGTTCCGCTGCCTACCTCGAAAGCTCACGGTCCCGAGTTTGATCCCCAGTACCAAAAAAGAAACCCAAAAAACAACCATACAGCATAAAAGCACACTATGTACAAAGTTCAAGTCCCCAGTTAGGGGGTTACTGCATGCTCTCTTCCCCCATGCTCCTGCCAATCCCCCTAAACCCTATGAGCCAGGTACCAGTTTTTATGCCCTTTTTGCAGAAAGGTAAACTGAGTCACAGAGATTTTTTTTTTAAGTGTTTTATGCCAGATCACGGGGTAGAAAGTAAAAGAGGCAGGATTCAATCTGTAGGAGGCTGGTCATGCTCTGGCATGGCCAGATCTTGCAACATTCTGCTTAGTGGTTTAGCTAAGTGTCTTTGTAAGACTAATTCTTTTTTTTTTTTTTTTGGTACTGGGGATCAAACTCGGGACCTTGTGCTTGCGAGGCAGGTGCCAGAACCACTGAGCTAAATTCCCAGCCCCTGTAAGACTAATTCTTAAGCAAAGGGCAGGAATTCTGCTTTAAAAAATATATTTTCTACTCTAAACGGTGTGGGGATGCACATCTGTAATCCCAGCACTCAGGAGGCTGCGGCAGGAGGATCCAAGAGTTTGAGGCCAGCCTGAACTACATACCGAGACACTGTCTCAAAAAAAAAAAAAGAATGAAGATGTGTTATGTGCATGTACCAACTCCCCATGATGAATGTAATCAGTATGTACTGCAAATATATACTGATAAAAAATTTTTAAATATTTTCCCTCTCCAGGTAGACAGATAGATGGACATGTAGGCAGAAGGATGAGTGGAGGGATAGATGGTTAGATGTAAAGATCGATTTCCCACAGTACCCCACACTTCTGCTGTCAGCATATGCTACCTGTTGGCTTAAATCTGAGCATCCGGCTGTGCTCTCGGGAGGCCTCATAGTCGCCGGAGCCCTAACCTTGGCGTTGTCCTCTGCAGGCCCTGGCCGGCGGCATGCGGCTTCCACGCCTCTCCAGCTCTGTGGTGACCGCGCTCCTGCTGGCCCAGACCTGCCTCCTGCTCTTCCTGGTCTCGCGGCCGAGACCCTCGTCCCTGGCCGGCAGTGAGGAGCGCGTGCACGTGTTGGTGCTGTCCTCGTGGCGCTCGGGCTCGTCGTTCGTGGGCCAGCTCTTCAGCCAGCACCCGGACGTCTTCTACCTGATGGAGCCTGCATGGCACGTGTGGGCCGCCCTGTCGCGGGGCAGTGCGACCGCGCTGCACATGGCCGTGCGCGACCTGGTGCGCTCCGTGTTCCTGTGCGACATGGACGTGTTCGACGCCTACCTGCCCTGGCACCGAAACCTGTCCGACCTCTTCCAGTGGGCGGTGAGCCGTGCCCTGTGCTCGCCGCCAGCCTGCAGCGCCTTCAGCCGCGACGCCATCAGCACCGAGGTGGCGTGCAAGCTGCTGTGCGCGCGGCGGCCCTTCGGCCTGGCGCAGGAGGCCTGCCGCTCCTACAGCCACGTGGTGCTCAAAGAGGTGCGCTTCTTCAACCTGGAGGTGCTCTACCCGCTGCTCACGGACCCCTTGCTCAACCTGCGCATAGTGCACCTGGTGCGCGACCCGCGCGCCGTGTTGCGCTCCCGGGAGCAGACGGCCAAGGCTCTGGCGCGCGACAACGGCATCGTGCTGGGCACCAACGGCACGTGGGTGGAGGCCGACCCGAGCTTGCGCGTGGTGAGCGAGGTGTGCCGCAGCCACGTGCGCATCGCTGAGGCCGCCCTGAGCAAGCCGCCACCCTTCCTGCGGGGCCGCTACCTGCTGGTGCGCTTCGAGGACCTGGCACGGGACCCACTGGCCGAGATCCGGGCGCTCTATGCCTTCACCGGCCTGCACCTCACGCCGCAACTTGAGGCGTGGATCCTCAACATCACGCACGGGACCGGGATCGGCGCGCGCCGCGAGGCCTTCAAGACCACCTCCAGGGACGCTCTCAACGTGTCCCAGGCCTGGCGCCTCGCGCTGCCCTTCGCCAAGATTCGCCGCGTGCAGGACCTGTGCTCGGGCGCCCTGCGGCTGCTGCGCTACAGACCAGTGTTCTCCGAGGATGAGCAGCGGGACCTCACTCTAGACCTCGTGCTGCCCCGAGGTCCGAGCAGCTTCAAGTGGGCATCGTCCACCAACGCGCAGCCCAGGCCCTAGCAAGGCCCCAGTGGTGGCCCGTGAGGAGTGTGGTGGGGTGGGGGGATGGGCGAACAAGGAAGCCAACCAGCCAGCAGGGGACCAGAGTGTGGGGACCCTCCCTTGTGCCAGGAAGGGGCTGAGCCCCCAGATTCCATATTTCTTTCCCCCTAGATTCGTGGCTTTCTTTTGCGCTCTGTTTGGGAGCTGGGTTAGCAACAGGTACATTCTTTAGGGAAAGCCAAACTCTTGCCCTCATTTCCTCTGGGGAGAGGGGCGACTTGGCTCCTACTCAAGTGTTTTCTTTTGCCCTAATTCTGACCTCCCTTAGGATGCACCACGTGGGGACTGGGAAGGTGTTCCAGCCCTGGCTAGGAGCACAGGGCCCTGCAGTGAGCCAGCTCCTGAAGTTCTCATATCCCCCTCTCCCCTCTGTCCTGGACTCGGTTCCACCCATGCCCCGTTGAAGTGGTGGGGGTTAGACTCACCCACAACTTCCGTGAGGCATCATGAGATACCTCTGTCTGTGGTCTTCCATCAGCCTCTGCTCCACCTCCCAGCAGCCCACTTGTCCCCTTAGGAGGAACCTTTTCATAAATCTTTGATTTGTCTTGATGGGGAAAATCCCTACTTCTGGAAATAAACACAATAATTGACTCATGTGGTAGCGATTAATTTACAGCCTGTGAAGTTTACCACACAAAGCTGCAAAGTCCAGGGACTTTGGCAAGATCCCCCAATGAGAAGGAGCATGAAGGCCAAGAGATTTTTGCTCCAAGGATATGGTGGAGGAAGAGGACGACTCAGGCTTGCAGAGAGGTCACTGTGCTGGCAGTGGTTGGTCTCCTTCCTCATAGATGGTGCCTTCTAGCTCTGTCCTCAACAACTGGGAGAGCCAAGGTAAGCTCTCTAGGGCCTCTTGTAAGGGTACCAACTCCATTTATGAGGTTCCTCCCCCTTTCTATTTTTTATTTTGAGACAGGGTCTCAATTTCGAGATTTCCCTGGCTGGGTTGAACTTATGACCCTCCTGCCTCAGCCTCCCAGAGTGTTGGGATTACAGCCATGTGCCACCATCCTCAGCTCAGGGATCCATCTTCTTGATCCACCTAATTATCTCCCAAAGGCCCTGCCCCCTAATACCATACCTTGGGGGTTAGAATTTCAACATATGGCTTGGGAGAGATACATTCAGACTAAACCAGAAAGACCTGGGTCACATAGCTTAATATATAGGCTAGGCTTCAACTCACATCACTGACTTCAGTGCTAAAGGTCTTAACAAGTGAACCACAGTGGGGATGAAAATGGACCATAGCAAAGGGCTTGGAAAGCCAGTTTGTTTGTCTTTGACAACAACAAGGGTCACTGGAGGTCAGGGAGCCATTTGACTGCACATATCTCAAGTACCAGATTTTTTTGTTTGGGTTTTGAAACAGGGTTTCACTATGTATTCCAGGCCAGCCTTGAACTCACTTTGTAGCCCAGACTGGCCTCAAACTTGTGGCGATCCTCCTGCCTCAGCCTCCCGAGTGCTGGGATCACAGGCGTGTACCACCACATCCAGGTTGTAGTCACACTCTGCTATAGACCGTAGCTCCTGCTGTTGAGAGGAGGAGTCTGTTGCTAGGATTTGCTTCAGCCAGCAGGACACAGGGCACCGTGCTGAGCCCGGCCTGGGAGCAGAGGCACAGCTGTGCCTTTAACCATCATGGGTGTGCAGCGGGGACTCATTAACAAAGACAGGTTAGCAAGAGAGAAACAGCTTGTTAGTGCAGTAGCAATAAATCATCCAGGAGGAAGAAAAGTAACACAAAGAAGAGGCCTAGAAGTCCAGCTTATTTGGCATTTTCAAAAAGAACAGTAAATTTGTAGAGAAAGGAAAGGACAAAGGAAGGCAGCATCAGGCATCCAAGGGCAGGAGCCGTGGGAGGTGAGGTTATGAAAGGAGATGAATGGGATAAGACTGGTTTGCAGCTTCCCTGCGTGCCATTTGTGGGTTGATAAGGGGTTAGAGTCATCCTGAGGAAAGAATTTATATCGTAGCTGGGTGAGGTGACACGTGACCATAATCCCAGCACTCTGGGAGGCTGAGGCAGGACAATTACAAGTTCAATCACCAGCCTGGGCAACTCAGTGACTTAGTGTGACTCTTCCTCAATATAAGAAATAAAGAAAAAGAGGGCCAGGGATTTAGCTCAGTGGCACTGCACCTGCCTTGCAAGCACAAGGTCCTGAGTTCAATCCTGGTACCACAAAAAAAAAAAAAAAAAGAACAAAGAAAGAAAGACAGAGAAAGAAAGGTCTGGGGATGTAGCTCAGTGTGAAGTCCTTGGGTTCAGTCTTCAGTCACAGACACACACACCCACACACACAATTTCCTATAGGCAGAAAAGAGAAAGGGTAGAGAAAGCTTTTCTCTGACATTTGCTGCTTATTTTCTTTTTTTTCTCTTAAATTCTTTTATTGGTACATTTTAGGCATACAGTACATTTACATTCATCATTGGGAACTTGTACCTTTACATGATGTGTCTTGGTTCTTATTTATTTGCTGCTTTCTTAATTGCCTTGGGCTCAAAATTAATTTTTATATCAAAGAGGAGTATTTGGGGATGACATATCTTGGGTTCCTTCAACCTCGACTTGCATGCTCATCCCTTCCTTGAGACCCCTGCCTCTGCCATGAAAACCAGCTCAGGATAGAGCAGTGGACTGGACACCAGGCGCCAGGGGGAGGTCCTGTCACCCCATTGGCCCATCCTAGGCCAGCCAGCCCTTCCTGCCCACCAGCTGACCAGCACAGCCCTGCCCTGCCACATCCTAAGGGCCAGATCAAGTCACAGGGCAGAGCCTGGGACACAGACCCTTGATGGGAGGAGGCTGTTTGGGGGCATGTGTGTGTGTGTGTGTGTGTTTGTGTGTGTGTGTGTGTGTGTGTGTGTGTATGTTTAAAAGAATCGGCCGGAGGTTTAGCTCAGTGGTTCCGGCGCCTGCCTAGCAAGCGCAAGGTCCCGAGTTCAATCCCCGGTACCAAAAAAAATTAAAAAAAAAATAAAAGAATCAACTGGGCTTCATGTGCTTTAATTTTGTACATCTTCTAGAACCAGTTTCGTTTTCCAGTTTTGCAGATGTTCCAGCTGCCATTCATTTAACTTTCTAATCTTTGTTTTGTTTTGTTTTGTTTTTTGGTACCTGGGATGGAACGTGGGACCTTTCGCTTGAGAGGCAGGCAGCAGAACTACTGAGCTAAATCCCTGGGCCTAACTTTCTCATCTTTAAGATCAATCGATATGAAAGATGAACAAGCCCCACTGAGTAATTCATTTAAAAAAATTCCTTAAAACAAAGAAATGGCTTTGTTTTTAAATCCCAAAGCACAGTATTTCAACAGCAGCAGCCAACATGGGGTTTAGCAGCTTAGCTTTACCCCATAAATAAAGCTTCGTATAAACCAGTTTTGTCCCAATGAGCAAGACTGGCTGAGACTGGAGCTGCCCAGCAGAGGGTAGACCTTCAGAGCAATGGCATGCTTAGGGTATTCAGGTCAAGACAGGGTCTCACCGTGTAGCCCAGGCTGGCCTCAAATTCATGGAAATCCTCCTGCCTCAGCCTCTCACGTGAGATTTTCCACATGAAATTAATTTTAATGATATTATTCCATTTATTCCAATATATCCAACATATCATTTTAGCATGTAATCAATATAAAGTATTACTGATACATTTTACCTTCTTTTTAAAAATTTTTCAGACCATGTCTTTAAAATCCAATGTGCATTTTACGCCGAGAGCCCATTTCAATTGGGACCCGTGCATTTCTGGAGCTCAGTGTCCCCACGTGGACATTGGACAGATGGGGTTTAGTTATCTTTATCTTTTGTCCTTACGCCCTCTACCGACAGAGCTTGGTCATTACATTCAGTTTGGGCTGGAATCTGATTCCAGCAGCTCCACCCTGCTCCAGTGGATCAGGGAACCAATGATCCTGTGCCCAAAGCACATGGGCTGTCCCTACCTTCGCAGGTTAGCTGATTTGTATTTAATCATCACGGTCACCCAGCTGTTTCTTTTACTATACAAATACTCTCTCGCAGAGCAACTCTGACTTCTGTCCATGACTCTATTCAGATCATATTCCTCAAAATCCAGGGCGGAAGCCCTGATAGCCTCCAGAGTGCTGCTGAAATGCTGGGGACTGGCCGCTTACACGCTTCCCCGAAACAGCAGGTTCTTCCGGTCAGTTGAGTAGCCTGGGGGTAAGACCGGAGCCCTGCCTGCCCTGTCTTTATGTTACTCAATCACAGTCTTCAAGAACCCCACGCATAGTTTAGTGGTAGCTCAGTGGCAGAGCACTTGCCTTGCTTGCTTGACGACCTGGATTCGAACTCTGGTACTGAAAAAGCCAAAACCCAAACACTCCACTTGTTCCATCAACACAGTGTGAATTGAGCCCCAGTCAGGCACCAGGCCACCGATAGTGCTAGGGAGACAGCAACGAACAAAACAGACAGAAGGGCCAGGCATGGAAGCGCATACCTGTGATTCCAGCACTCTGGAAGGCTGAGGCAGGAAGATCACAGGTTCAAGCTCATCCAGGGCAATTTAGTGACTCAGAAAGACGCTGGCATCAGCACACATATAATCCCAGCATGAGAGAGATTGAGACAGGAGGATCACCACAAGTTCGAGGCCAGCCTGGGCTACATGGTGAGTTCAAGCCTGAACTACATAGTGAGACCCTGTCTCAAAAAACAACAGGGCTGGGATTTAGCTCAGTGGTTCCACCGCCTGCCTCCAAAGCACAAAGTCCGGAGTTTGATCCCCAGTACCAAAAAAACCAACCAGGCCGGGGATTTAGCTCAGTGGTTTTGCTGCCTGCTGCTCAAGCACAAGGACCGAGTAGGATCCCTGGTACCAAAAAAACCTGCAAAAAACCAACCAAACGAACAAACACACAAACAAAAACACCTTGTCTCAAAATAAAAAACAAAAAGAGCTGAGGATGTGGCTCAGTGCAAAGGCCCTGGGTTCCATCCCCAGTACTGCAAAAGACAAAAAAACACAAGCATTTGCCCTTCTGCTGGTAGGGACAGAGCCAATCAGTAACAGATTTAATACACAGTTATATGTAGACAATTAGTGCTCATCATGGGGATTATGAGCATAAATGTGTGCAGTGGAAGCTGTAGTTTTTAGTGAGGTGATCAGAGTAGGTACTTGAGAATCTGACATTTGAGCAAAGTTTTAAAAGATACAAAGGAATTAACTAAGAGTGACTCTAGTAGTGTGGCCTGGAGGCCTCGCTGAGGACATTGGCTTTGACCTGGAGTCAGCTACAGGGTGGCTAACATTCTCTTGCCTCCCTTGGTTGATTAAATAAATACAGACATAGATGTACAGTGGACCCTCAAGTTACGACCAGCCTGACATACAAACAACTTGGGTTAATTAGGTTAATGGAAGATTCAACTGCCTCTTCTTATCTCAGCTATATTGACTTAGTTACACCCAGCCCTCAGGAACTGATAGAGTTCATAAAGCAAGGGTCCACTGTACCATGCTATATGTGAGTAATGTGTCAGGTATCGAAAAAAAAAAAAACAAATACCCATTGAATAAATACCTCGTTACAATTTAACTGCATGTTAGTCTCTTCAATTAGCGTATTGTCAGTTTTGCACAGTTTTGAGCTTGGTTTAAGTGGGATCACTCTGTGATCTTCTGTGACCCCAATCCCCCTCACCCCCACATTCCTGGGATTCATGTGGTGTTGTTCAGCTTCACATCTTTCATTTTCACTGCTCTACAGGACCTCACTGAAAATTACACCTCAGCTTTATCTACCTGTTCTTCCCTGAAGAGCGCTGGCTCGTAAGTGACTGCCATTGTGGTGCTGCTGCCAACAATCTTGTTCTCATCTCCTGATGCGGATGGAGGTTGCAGGGTTTTCGCCTGCAAATGAGATTGCTAGGTCAAAAGCGCCCTCCCTCAATATTATTACAAAATGGCCATAACCTTTTTTACCTAAAGACTTCCAGTTGCTCTATAGCCTCACTAATAATTGGCATTCTCAGACTTTACAATTTTTGCCTAAGCCAGATGTGGTGGTGCACACCTATGATCCTAGCACTCAGGAGACTGAGGCAGGAGGACAGAAAGTTAAGGCCAGTCTGAGCCATATAGTGAGCCCTTGCCTCAAAAAACAAAAATAAACAATTTTTGACTGTTTGGTGGTTGAAAGATGATATCTTACTGTGATTTAATTTTGTGCTTCCCTCATTAATAATGGGGTTAAGCATTCTTTCTGATTCTTGTTGGCCATTTGTGTTTTCTCTTTGGTAAAGTACCTATACAAGTCTTGTGTGTGTGTGTGTGTGTGTGTGTGTGTACACACACACACACATATTTGTGTTGGAGACTAAAACCAGGGCCTCCCACATGCCAGGCAAGAGCTCTACCACTAAACTATATTCCCCAGATCATTTAAAAATTTTATTTTGAGAAAGGGCCTCACTTCATTGCTTAGGCTGCCCTTCAACTTGTAATCCTCTTATTTCAGCCTCCCAGGTACCTGGGATTCCATGCGTGTGCCACCACACCCAGCTCTGGTAACTCTCAACACAAATTCTTAATTTAAGAAAGTTAAGTTTAGCAGTCTTTTATTTCATGCTGTGCTTCTTGTATCTAGTTGAAGAACTCTTTCACTATCCTGAGAATATAAAGATATTCTACATTGCCTTCTAAAAATTTTATAGTTCTATATCTTGCTATAAATCAAATAACTTAGACAGGAGGTTGAGTTTCTAAGAAAACCAAAGCCTAGTTTTTGTTTGCTTTATACTTGTACAATTTTCTTACAGCTTTGTGGTTTGGGTTTTGGGCTTTGTTTGTTTTTGATTTGGGTGTTTTCTTTTGCTTTTTGGTACTGGGGATCCAACTCAGGACCTTGCGCTTGCAAGGCAGGTGCAGTGCTACTGATCTAAATCCACAGCGCTGTTTTTGGTTTTTCGAGACAGGGTCTCACTATGTAGTTCAAGCTGGCCTTGAACTCATCATGTAGCCCAAGCTGGCCTCAAACTTTTGGCAGTCCTCCTGCCTCAGCCTCCCAAGTGCTGGGATTATAGGCGTGTCCTATCATGCCCGGCAGCTCTGTGTTTTTCTCCCATTCAAGTACCAACCAGGCCTGAGTCCGGTTAGGTTCCAAGATCGGAGGAGATCAGACGTGTTCAGGGTGATACGGCTATAGACAGCTCTGTGTTTTTTTAAGAGTTTGTGTTGCCTTTCACTTCTTCCCACTTAGAGAAACTGGTGTCTTCTTCACCTGGTCATTAAATTTTGAACTTTGTAACCATATCGACCATAGTTTGAAAGCAATTTTTCTTCTCCCTAGAACACTTTCCATTCATCAGGACAGGTGGCTGTTAGGACTACTGCACGTGGGCCAGGGTGACACACCCGGCCAATTCCCCATTTCTAGCACATGGTTCTCTTCTACTTTTTTTTACCTTCTTTGCAGTATACACCTAACCCTCTCTGGAAAGTGTACAGGAAACACAACTCTTTCTTTTAACCTCTCAATTCATAATTTGGCTGGGGATTGAAATCTAAATTCAATAATAATGTTTCCTAATGTAATACATAATTAACAGGGCTGAGGATTTAGCTCAGTGGTTTCGCCACCTGCTGCACAAGGACAAGGACCCGAGTTTGATCCTCTGTACCAAAAAGAAAATAGTTCCAAATACACAATTAATTGTGGTTTTGGAGAATTTTGTGGGGATTTTTTTCTTTTTAGACACAGGCTTTTGCTAAATTGCCAAGCCTGACCTTGAACTCATAATCCTCCTGCCTTAGCCTCCCTCATGCTGGGATTACAGGGATGTGACACCATGCCGGACTCCCAGTTGATTGTTATATAGCCCTAAAACAATGGGTTTCTTCCACTTTTAGTGGACTCTGCTATTCTGGACAACGCACTGCGAAGTCAGCATTGTAATTATATCATGACTTTTTTATACTATTTTTATTGCAAATAAGTTTCTTGGTTGATGTAAAATGTCAGTTGTGGTTTGGAGAACTGGCATTAGAAATATTCTAGGGCAGCTGGACATGGTGGCTCACTCTTGTAATTCTAGCACTTTGGGAGGCTGAGGCAGGAAGATTGCCATGAATTCAAGGTCAGCCCTGGCTACACAGTGAGTTCAAGGCCACTCTGAACTATATAGCAAGACCCTTTCTCAAAACAACAACAAAGAAGGATTCTAGGGCTTATTTTTGTTTTGTTTTATTTTTTATTTTTGGTACTGGGGATCAAACTCAGAACCCTGCGTTTGCAAGGCAGGTGGCAGAACCACTGAGCTAAATCCCCAGCCCTTGTTTTATTTTTTGAAACAGGGTCTCACTATGTAGCCCAGGCTCAGCTCAATTTATGATCTTCTTGCCTCAGCCTCTTGAGAGCTAGGATTACAAATATGCATCACTATGCTTGCCTAATTTCTTTTTCAGTAGTGGCGATTGAACCCAGAGCCTCACATGTGCTAGGCAAGTGCTCTATCACTGAGCTGCATCCTCAACCCATAAGAGATATCCCCACCCCCACCCCATACCAGGGATCGAACTTAGGATGTTGCACTTGCCAGGCAGGCATGGCACCACTGAACTATATCCCTGGCCGAAACCCATAATAGAGTTTTAAAAGCAGACTTCAGGGATGCCGGGGATTTAGCTCAGTGGTGTTGCCATCTGCCTCACAAGCACAAAGTCCTGAGTTCGATCCCTGGTACCAAACAAACAAACAAAAAGCTTCAAGAAGAAACTAACGAATGTTGCTAATGCTCTTGAATTAAAATGAAAGTATTGTTTATGCACAATGCTTTTTAACTAAAAATAAATTAAATTTTAAAAACCATTCTCTTTTCAAATAAGAAAGCATTTGGTATATTGTCTTTCAGCCTTCTTCACTTGGCTGGCAAGTATCTGATTTTCGTTTCTTTGTGGATGATCTATACTTTCTCTCTGTAAGTGTTCTTTTTTTGGTTGTTGTTGTGTTCGTTTCTTTACGGGATCAAATTCAGGACCTTGCACTTGCAAAGCAGGCGCTGTGCCACTGAGCTAAATCCCCGGCCCCTGTAAGTGCTCTCTTTATTTTTTATCTTTTGTGGTGCCGGGGATTGAACCCAGGGCTTGAGGCATACTCAGCAAACACTCTACCACTGAGCCCAGGAAGCTTTACTTTGTTCTTTTTCTTTTTCTTCTTTCTTTGGGGAGGAGGGGGATAAGCAACACCATTTCTTGCCAGCGCGTGCCTTGGATATGGAATAATTATGGAAAAAGGCTGTTGGTACCCATCACTCCACCACATGCCTAGAAAATCCTACAGAATCTGAAATGCTGCCCAGAAGTCTGGATTCACTGGAAAATATCTGCAAATCTCAAAAGGTCTCATTTATTTCAGCTAGTATAATGAAAAGTTTCAGCTTCAATGACTGTAAAGTCTTGTCCTCCTTCCCTGCCCACGTCAAAGAATGAAAATTCGAAGTAGAAAGCTAAGAGGACTGTTAGTTGTTAACATTTAAGATGACATTGACTAAACTGCACTGAAATTTTAGTAGGCCGCTGGTCATTGTAATAGATTTTTTGTTTTTATTTTGTCTTTTTTTTGGTACCGGGGATCTTGCACTTGCAAGGCAGGCTCCGGAACCACTGAGCTATAATGCCCAGCCTATTTTGTCTTGTTTTTGTGGTACTAGAATCTAAATCCAGGGTCTTCATATTGAGCTACGCCCCTGAAGTTTTTTATTCTTTATTTTGAGACAGCCTCACTAAATTGTTAAATTGCCCAGACTGGCCTTGAACTTGTGGCCCTCCTGCCTTAGCCTCCCAGAGTGCTGGAATTATAAGGTGTGCCACCACACCCAGGGATGTCTTGTCGATTTTTGTCCTTGTTGCTTGAGACAGAGTCTCCCTTGTAATTGAGGCTGGCCTTGAACTCACACCAGTCTTCTTGCCTCAGCCTTCCCAGTGCTCCTGCACCACCACTCCTGGCTATAGATTTTTTTTTTAATTGAGGGGAAAAAAAACCCGTTTCCGTCACAGCTCGGGACTTGCAGTCATCAATGGGCAAAGGGGCAGGACTGCTGTGTTGTGCCCAGATTAAGCACATTTAATCATTAATTTGAAAGAACAAAGGAGACTGCTCCATTTTGGACAAAATGGAGTCATTCTGGTCTCACATTAGCAAAATGGAGTCACTTTTGGTCTCACAGCTGCTGCAGCTTTTTCCCAGGTCTTGCCAGATGCAAAGACACTAGGGGTGGGACCAGGGCCCCTCTCCCCACCCCGCCCACCTCTGTCCTCCCCATCCCCCAATCCTGGAGGGACGTCTCTCCTGGAGATGCTACACAGGGCCGCAGGCAGCTCAGGAGCTTCCTGTCAAGTATACCTCTATTAGCCTTGTTTGTGTGGTAGATTTAAAAATTTTTTCTTTGTTCTTAATTGCCACATAATAATTGCATGTTTTCTAGATTTTTAATTTTTTTTTGAAAAGTGACTTGGGTCACACCTGGGAGTCCCTTCTGCCCAGGTAGCTCTGAGCCCAGGGACAGTTCCTGGCATGGAAAGGCTGCATCACACTCACTATTGTACTTGGTCTATCCCACCTGGTGGTGACACAAGGGGTCCCAGCAAATAGGCATCACTGGCACTGGGCAGGCACTAGGGGACACGGTCTTGGATAACTGGGCAGGTGTGGCCAGCTTCAGCAGGGTGATGTCCTTGCTCACAGTGAGCATGCTGAACTTGGGGTTCTTGAAAAACTCAGGGTGACAATCACAACCCTGGTGAGGCCCCAGGAGCAGCCCCACCCCCGTATCTCCAGGGGGTCAAGCTCCTGTCCCCAGGCTCCTATCCTTGGGACAGGTACCTTTGCCATCTCTAGGACTTGGATGCCTTCTTCATTGGATCCCTGGTCAAAAGCCCCAGCCACCACCATCTCATTTATTTTTAGGAACAGAGACAGGAGGGGCTGGGGACAGAGGAGCCCAATGCCCCCCTACCCCCCCACCCCCTGGAGCTGGGAGCAGAGCCCGAGCCACTTGCTCACCTGGCCTGGCAGTGGGAGGTGGTGACCACCCAGTACAGGGAGATGAGGGAGCAGAAGTGGAGGCCAGTTTCATCCTGGGAAGGAAGGAGGGGAGGTCACAGCTGCCACCTGGGCAAAACCCCAGCCTGGTCAACAGCCCAGGGCGCCCCACATGTCCCAGATCCCCAGCTCACCTGCAGGGACACCTGCCAGGGCCAGGAGCCAGGGACAGCATCCGTGCCATTGACAACCCTGGCCAGGCCACTCAGCATGGGTGGGATGGCAGGGTTACCACAATCTGAGAGAAGGGAGAGGAAGGGCTGTGGCCCGGAGCCAGTCTGGGCCCAACCCGCCAGCGCTGCAGAGCTGCTGGTTTCCACCTCCGCCCACCCAGCTCAGGATCCCCATTCCACAGTTGCCTCCTGCTCTGCAAGGTGCCCTGGCTTCTTCCAATCTCTAGGCTCAAGGCTCCCTCACCTGCAGCCTGCTGACCCCAGTCACCCTGCACAGGTGCAGAGGGCCATGGCTGTCCCCACCTGGGCCTGTGCTGCCATAGCAGAAGACAGTTGGGCCACCAGCCTGCATGGGCCTGACCTCTAGGTCCCTGTCCTGGCTGTGTGGCCTTGGACCAGGGGCTCCACAGTGTTCTCAGCTGCTGCGTGGGAGCAGAATTAACCCACATGTGTTAGTTGGGAGGGGTGTGTGGAACTCACAGCTATGACCACATCCTGGGGCCTCCAGAGCCCAGACGCTAGGCTGATGGAGGGTGAGAGGCACCAATTCACACCACAGTGCCCAGGCGGAATTCACCATTTCTGTAGCACCTCATAATTTCTGCAACCTTTGACTGTGTAAGGTTTGGTTTCTTTATTATTTAATGAAACAGGTCTTTGGTATCACACCATAAAAGACCACATCAGAGAAGCAGTTGACAAACAAGAAGTTCAGGTGTACTGCACATGCCTGCGGCACATTGGGTGGATCACCAAGTGAGCTCTCAGTGCTGTACTGGCCAAACGTTTGGCCTTTACACTGGCTCATGGAGCCCCAGCCACCAGCTGCCACGTCTGGAGTCTTTCTCACCTGCTACAGGCCCAGAGCCTACTTCCCCTGCCCATAGGAAGAGGGATTTGGACAAGGCCCTTCAAGAAGAAAATACTACTGTTCTAGAATCACGGAAAGAAGTACACGGAGACACAGAATTTGGGTAAAATAATAAAAGTTTACTTGCAAGCAGGCAGGACTGCCAGAAACTTATCTGGTCAGAGTCCAAGCCCTGTGTTCTTTTTCCATCACCTTTTATACTTTTGTCAGTCATTATCTCATCCCCAGTGGTCTTTGTTAAGTAAATAAAGTTCCAATTCCTGTTTAATGGTTAGACACAGGTGGTTCCTGTCACTGATTAGTCTTAAACACATAACAGTTAAGGCACATACATCACAAGTTTGTTCAAGGATTCCCACTTTGTTTTTCAGAGGTAGGATGTTATCTACAGTGGAGCTACAGATCAAAGGAGCTATATAACCTTCACTTTAAACAGCAAAAGCAATGGGTTAAGGCAAGCTTTTAAAGGGATACACTACCTATTTTGCTTTCACAACTACTTTAATAGCTAATCTACTTAACTTACTTTAAAACTTTTCCCTATCACTACTACTGCTGCTGCTGCTGCCACTACCACTACAACTAATCTATTTGTTATAATAGCAAAAAAAGAGAAATAAGAGAGTATTCTCACGAGAGTACATGACAGTGATTCAAGTGAATGAGCTAGATCCCATGGCAATGTGGGTAAATCTACAACCTTATGAGTATAAAAAAGCACATTGTAAAACTGATGCAGAGTAGCATGCTACTTATGTAAATTTTTAAAAAAACTTTATGAATATGTATATATACGCATGTGTGTAGTACATGTGTATAAGCCAACATAAAAATGACACACAGATCTCAGAACAGGAAGGAGGAGGGAGCAAAGGAAACCTGTAGGTGAATCTCTTTTATGTTTTAAAAAGAAATATCTAGGGCCAGAGATGTAGCTAAGTCGCACAGTGCCTGCCTGGCAACTGTGAGGTCCTGAGTTCAATTCCTGGTACCAAAAAACAAAACAAAAATAAATATCTAAGCTGGGGACAGTGTCACACTTGTAGTCCCAGCTACTGAGGAGGCAGGAGGATCACTTGAGCCCAAGATTTCTCAGCTAGCCTGGCTAACCATTTTTTGAGATCCTGTCTCAAAAAACAAAACCACACCCAGCTCAGAAAGGTATCCTTCAGGGTCGGGGATGTACCTTAGCAGTGCAGTGCCTGCCTGGCAAGTGAGATGCCCTGAGTTCAGTTCCTGGTACCAAAAAAAATGTCTCATTCAGGTATCATAAAATTCATTGTCTTAGCTGGTGGAGTGGTACAAGCCTGCAATCCCAGCACTCTGGGAAGCTGTAGCAGAACTTGAGTGCCTGTGATTTTTTTTTTTGACTGGGAATCAAACTTAGGACCTTACACTTCCGGCAGTCATGGGGCCACTGAGCTACATCTCTGGTTAGTATTAAAAATGGCAGGGCCAGGGATTTAGCTCAGTGGTGCTGCCACCTGCCTTGCAGGCACAAGGTCCTGAGTTCGATCTCTGGCACCAAAAAAAAAAAGGGCAATAAATGAATAGATAAGATAGACAGACAGATAAAAAATGGCTGGGGATGTAGCTCAGTCCCTGGGTTCAGTCCCAACTACCACACACCAAAAAAGTCTTTTCTTTATTCTTGGTGTTGAAATTTTACAAGGACACATTAATTATTGTTTTTCCTTTCATTGATTCTCTTACAGACACTTGATGAGTACGTTTGTTTCCCTTCTGCTGTCACCTGTATTTTGAGAAAAATTTTTTTTGTGGTACTGGGGATTGAACCTAGGGGTTTTCACTATTTTCCCAGGATCTCCTGCCCCACTGTTTTAAAAATGTGGAGACCAGGTCTTGCTAAGTCAATAAGTTGAGCTTGAATTTGTGATCTTCCTGCCTCAGCTGCCCAGAGTGCTGGGATTATAGATGGGTGCCAACTATGCTCATTCAGTTTAGAAATTTCTGTCTGGTACTTTTTTCTGAAATGCCCATTAATTAGATAAATGGTTTGGCCATCTCTATCTGTCATCTTTGATCTCCTCCTTTCTTTTTAAAAAATTCTTGATACTGGGGAATTGTTACACTGAGAGTATAACTTACACTAGGCATACACTTTACAACTGTGCTACACCCCCAGCCTTTTCTTCATTTTGAGACAAGATCTTGCTAAATAGCCTCAAACTTGTGATCCTCCTGCCTCAGGCTCCCTAGTAGCTAGGGTTACAGGCATGTACTACCACCCCTGGTATATCTTCTCTTTTTAAGTATCAGTTTTACCTGTAAAGCAGATATACAAATAAATGCATTGAATTGTTTGGGTTAATAAGATAATGCATAGCTAGGCTTTAGCTTGGCAACACACACAATATCCAGTAAATATTGATTATTATCCATCATCAGATACTCCATCTCCTGGGACTTGCTGAACTCTCCTAACCTTGATAACTTCCCTTTGGAGAACTCTATTATTTTCTTATTCCTTATCTTGACAGCTTTCATTTTAACAGCATCTCTGGAGATGAGACAGAAAAATACATGATCCAGTTTTTCAGTATTGACATGGAACCCCTTTTAAACTTTTATTTTATTTAAAACCAAGTAGCACCAAATAGACTATATTTGCACATAGTCTCTATTCCTGGCCCTTCACTGGCTGTTGAATGGAATCTTTCCACTATGGTCACATTTATTTATTTATTTATTTATTTATTTATTGCCTAATTCATTCACTAATTTTTTTTAAAGTAGTATATAAATTTACTATTATCAACTTTTTTTTTTGGAGATAGGGTCTCGCTTTGTAGTTCAGAGTGGCCCCGAACTCACTATGTAGCCCAGATTGGCCTTGAACTCGCGGTGATCCTCCTGCCACAATCTCCCGAGTGTGGTCACCTTTAAGTAGAGAACTTTCATGTTCTGTTCACGAAGGCTTCATAAATATTGGGCTCCAGTCTTAGCCGAAACGTCACAAATTTGTATTATCGGTGTTTCGCCAGATTCATTTTAAATCTGTATCTCTGCTCTGATGGGGCGCACGGAATTGCCCTACTTTCTTTTACGTGGTGATGCGAAAGAGCCGAGGGTCCCCAAACGTGGCAGCAGACACTCCTCCAGTAGGGGGCGTACCCCGTGGGGTCTGGGTTTTTGCGAGTCGTACGCAACGTCGGGGGCGGGAACAACTCTAGCCTCGCCCCTTGCGTGTGCGGCGACCTGTGATTGGAAGAAGGGACTATTACTTGGCAGCGCCGTAGATGTGGGAAGAAGAGGGCCTCGGGCGAAGGTGACGCGGAGACGGCGTAGGTGTGGGGACCAAGGCTGTGTAGCACTTCGGACACGCTCCCTTCATCTTTCTGTGGTGAATGGCGCCAGGATGGAGCGCGAGGGGAGCGACGGCAGCGGGGGTTCGGCTGGACTCCTGCAGCAGATCCTCAGCCTGAAGCTCGTGCCGCGAGTGGGCAACGGGACCCTGTGCCCTAACTCCACTTCTCTCTGCTCCTTCCCAGGTACGGCCCCGCCCCGCGCCTGCGCACTGCGCGCTCTGCCCCTCCGGGCCGGGTGGGAACCGCGCCCCCCCTGCTGGGAAGTTCCGGCTTCCTGGCCCGGGAACGCCTTTTCTGGTCACGTCTTCGCAGGTCCCCGGGATCTGGCCACCTCAAGCCTGCGATGAGGGGCTGGGATCGGAGAGAGCAGGCGCGGGTGGACCGTGTAACTAAAAGGGCCAAAATCCCTTTGGAATTTCCCAACCCGTCGGATTCAGAGTGCTATCTGGCTTGTTTGGGTCGCAGAATGGTGCCTGTCTTCTAACGAGGGAACTCGGCTAGGGTCGTCTCTGCCTGGCCGAGCAGCGATCGGAGTTCACATTTCCTTTGTTTGTATCCTGTAGCCCAACCCCTCTGTGCCAGTAGCCCAGTCTGCTTATCACTGGGACCCCAACAAGACCCGCCCCTGCAACTCCTCTTTCTAGGAATTGCTTTCTGAGACCTGTTGTTGGATCTCCTACCACAAGACCTTCGAGACAACTTCTCTTCAACTCCTCTTTACCCCCACTGAGCTGCTGATGGCCCTGGTAGAATAGTTTTTCAAAGTATCAAGGCAGAACTATCAGTGCTCAAAAAGCTGAGGCAAAATTATCTCTTCTGGGAAGATTAATAAAGGTTTTAAAGGGAAGATACAGTTATTTGTATGAGACCTTTACAGACCAGAGGTTGGACTAATGGCTATTGAAGCGGGGAGGTTAGGGCCCTGATACTTTGATTTAGTAAACAGTGTGAGAACTGGACCTTGAGAAAATGCCAAAGGAAAGCAAATGGGGTTGGTGACTACAATCTTAAATAAGACTCCTGTGCTTTCCTATCCACTGGGTAGAGACTGCCAGGCACCTTTCAGTGGATACTGGGGATTTCCTGTGTATCACTTGCTCAGGGATCTTCCAGCACAAGTTTATCAAGTAGCTGATCACCTGTGTTGGGGCAAATGAAATGTTAGCTTGTAATCATGCCTGAAGTGACTATCTCAAATCTCAAATGACAGCTCAAATTGTTTCGAAAAGTATTAGGATCACAATTGACAGTAATAAAAATACAGTATATAGCATTCTGTAAACAGTGACTGAAAAGTGAAGTGTTCGTAACTGCTGAGACAACACTAGTCTGTTTAGTTTTTCCCCCAGCTCTTTATTTGGAAAATTTTCAAACCTTCCGAAAAATGGAAAGAACAGTTCAGTAAATATCCATATTCTTTGATTCAGTGATAAAGACACTCATTGCTTAACAACCTGGACTTGTTAGGCAGTTTTGTTGTATGAACATTGTTTTTTTTGTTTTATTTTGTTTTGGTACCAGGAATTGAACTCGGGACCTTGCACTTTCGAGGCAGGCGGCAGAACCACTGAGCTAAATCCCAGCCCTGTTGTGTGAACATTGTAAAGTGTACTTAAAACAAACCTAGGTAGTATAGCCTATCACACGCTTAGGCTATATTATCTTATGGCCTCACCATCAGATATTTGGTTTGCAAGTGACTTTAAGACATTCTTTCAGTCTCCACAAACACACACACACACACACACACACGTGCGCGCATTGATATTCATTCATATCACATTTTAACTTCCTGTAGAGCCCTTTCAGAAGTCAGGGCACTAAATTCCTAGTACTTGAGCATACATCTTCAAAAACAAAGCTATTTTGTATCATAGTCACAAAAATCATATCACTCCTCATGTATTTTACATTGATAGAATAACATTTTCTAACATACAGATCTTATTTAAACTTTCCCCCAATTGGGCACATAGCACTCCCCCAAAGTTTTTTTTTTAATTCCAGGATTTAATTGGATTGCAGTGGTCCATGCCTGTAATCTCAGCACTCTGGGGAGGGCTTAGGGAGGAAGATCCCAAGTTGGACCCCATCCTGGGCAATTTGGAGAAACCCTGTTCCAGCAGATACAAAAGGCTGGAGTGTGTGGCTCAGTGCATGGGCCCTGGGGTCAGTCCCTAGTACCGCTAGCTAGCTAGCTAAATACATACTTACATACACACATACATACATATAATCAAAGGTCACACATGGCATTTAGTCATGTCTCTTCGGTCTTCAGTCTCATTTAACCTAGAATAGGTTTCAGTTTTTATTTCAGTTTCTTTCTTTTTTTTTTGGTACCGGGGATTGAACTCAGGTCCTTGCGCTTGCGCAGCAGGCGCCGAAACCACTGAGCTAAATCCCCAGCCCAATTTCAGTTTCTTGAGATTGAGATTTTTTTAAGAATTAGGCCAGTTGAATTGTAAGCTGTTTTACAATCTAGATTCATCAACTTTCTCCATGATTTGATTCAGATTAAACACTTTTGGTGAGAATGCACCCTACATGGTGATACTTTTCATTTAACAGTGTATCATAGCAGTAGATAGCTAATGTCAGTTTGAACCTTTATTGATAGTGTTAGCTGTGGTATTTGATGGAGATGGTATCTGTTAGATCTGTCCATTGAAGGATACCTTCATCCTTTCATGAGTAAAAATCATACGTGAGATGATAATTTAGAATTGAATATTCTTTTTAGTCTGTCTGGCTTTTAGTTCCCTTTTAGGAAAAGATTAAGATAAGTGGATCTGAGCTGATAGTTTTAATATGTCACCGTGAAGTATCTCTTCCTGTGGGAATTGTTTTGATTTTAGAAACTGTTCTAAAAATATTAAACTACACATGCGCTTGAGTTTAACATTACTTCTATGGATGTGTAACTTGCAGGTATTGGTTCCCAGGGGTCATTATTCAGCAGGTATACAGGGGCAGGCTTTTGGCTGGGAGTTTACACGTGTGGGGCAAAGCTCTCATCCTCAGGTTGACCGGAGTGTGGTGGTGAACACGTACCCTCCTTTCTGAGTCTCATCTTCAGCTGGAATGCTAGATACAATAGGTTATTGAAGTTTGACCTGGATTGAGGCACCAAAGCCTGCTAATAAAGGAGTTTCAGTCAGTGTCCTGAATCTGGCATCGTTTCTGTTTTGGGCCCACAGAAAAGGTTACTTGCAATTTATGCCAACTTATTTTGGCAGAGTCATTGCTCTGAAACATTCTGTGGTTTATCTGCCAGGAATCTTTGAATTGATTTTTTTTTTTAGACCTGCATTTGCAATTTAGCAATCTAGATTTTTGCCTAACCCTCCTTATTCCAAATTGTTCAAATTTCTTTGTCATTTTTTAACAAATCTTAATATCAAGAAAGACGGATCTTAGAATTGCGAATAACATTCATTTCTGAAGATACGGATTGCACTAAGCAATGTCAAAGTGTGTTTTGTGACCGTTAAACTAAAGCCCAGTAATGTCTTGGCTGTGCTATTACTAGAATCAAAAATGGGTCAAGCCAGATATGGTGGCACACAACAGTAATCCCACCTGCTGGGGAGGCTGAGGCAGGAAGATCACAAGTTCAAGGCTACCCTGAACGACCTAGTGAGACTCTGTCTCAAAATTCAGAGGCCCTGGAAGAGGACCTTTTTTTTTTTGGTGCCGGGGATAGAACTCGGGTCCTTAGCTTTTGAGGCAGGTGGTGGAACCACTGAGCTAAATCCCCAGCCCAAGAGGAGCTTGTTTTAAGAAACATCTAATGTGCCAGGTCTGGTGACATGTACCTATAATCCCAGCACTCGGGAGGCTGAGGTAGGAGGATCACCACAAGTCTGAGGCCAGCCTTGGCTACATAGTGAGTTCAGGACCAGCTTAAACTAGAGTGAGACCTTGTCTCAAAAAAAAAAAAAGGAAAAGAAAAAGAAAACATCCAGTGTGACTGGATGGTTATGTGGGTGAAGGAGAGAGGAGGAGGTAAGGTCAGATCCTAGAGGGCAGTTTGGGTGTTTTACCAGAGAAAGGATGATCTGGCTTACTTTTTTAGTGTACGATCCAGTGGTTATTAATGTATTTCAGAGTTGTCCACCATCATCACAGTCAATTTGAGAATATTTTTATCACCCCAACAAGAAACTTCATACCCACTAGCACTGACTGGCTGGCTCTGTGTGGAGAATAAATGGAGGCCAGATCAGACTGACAGGGTGGAGGCCAGGGTAGGACCTGGAGACCTGTGGAGTGAGGCCGGCCAGGGGCACACTCTGAACAGGAATGGGAGGGTGGGCCAGCTGTGGCATCGGGAAACAGGTGCCCAACCAGTTAGTAGTCCTGAGGGCAAATCCTGGGACCCGGGGTCCTCCTGCCTCAGCCTCCTGAGTAGTTGGGATTACAGGCATGTGTCACCATGCCCAGCACTGAAAACATAGTCTTCAAGATCTAAACTCTTTGCAAGCTTAAATCTTTTGGTTTTTTTTCACTGATGTGCCTGGCATATAGAATGTATTCAATGAGTGAATGAATCCTCAGTGTTTATATCAGTTTGCTAGTTTTACTGTACTAATTGCCACAAATTAGCCAGCCACAGTGGTGCACATCTGTATTTCCAGCACTCTGAGAGGATGAGGTAGGAGTATCTCAAGCTCACACCCCACCCGGCTGGGGCAATTTAGTGACTTAGTGAAACCTTGTCTCAAAAGAGAAAATTAAATATGTGAACTGGGGTTGTAGCTCATTGTAAGAGCCCCAGTACCACCAAGGGGAGGGTTTTTTTGGGGGTTTTTTGTTTTCTTCTTTTTTTTTTTTTCTTTTGGTACTGGGGATCGAACTCGGGTCCTTGTGCTTGCGCTGCAGGCAGCGAAACCACTGAGCTAAATCCCCAGCCCAAAGGTTGTTTTTTTTTTTATTAAAGGCCACAAATTTACCAGTTTAAAACAACACAGCTTTTATTATTTTACAGTTGTGGAGGTCAGAAGTAAAATGGTCTCACTCGGCCACAACCAAGGTGTCACACGACTGTGTTCATTCTGGAGGCTCTAGGAAGAAGTTGTTTGCTTTCCCGTCCAGCTTCTGGGGCTGCCTATATTCCATGGTTCATGGCCCTTCCCCTGCTTCAAAGCCAGCAGCTTAACATCTTCACATCAGACCTTGCC